TAATAGGAATAGTAATAGTAATTAGTAATGGTGGTAGTAATAGTAATAGTAATAGTAATAGTAATAGTAGTAGTAGTAGTAATAGTAATAGTAATAGTAATGGTGGTGGTAGTAGTAGTAGTAGTAGTTGGAGGAGGAGGAGGTTTAGTAGCAGCAAAAAAAATAAACGCCCCTTCCCCGGTCTCTCCACGGCAGAATTTGATTTTCAGCAAAAAACACCCTCCCACACAAACAGCGTTGTTTGGGCCGGGAGCGTGCTTTGTTTTGCTGTTTGGGCGGGTGGTCGTTTTTTTTTCTATTTGGGCGGGGGGGCGGGTTTATTTGTTTGCTGTTTGGGCGGGGGGGCGTGTTTATTTGTTTGCTTTGGGCGGGGGGCGTATTTTGTTTTTGCTGTTTGGGGCGGGGGGCGTGTTTTTTTCTTTGCTGTTTGGGCGTGTTTATGTTTTTGCTGTTCGGGCGGGGTGCGTGTTTATTTTTTGCTGTTTGGGCGGGGGACAGGAGTTCACTCACTTACCGGTCCTGGCTCGACTTTAAGGGGCCCAACGACAAAGACCAAACAGGTTCCCGACGGCGACTCAACCCACACGGCGGCTCATGTGCATGCAGGGGGCTCTGGTGCCATAGTTCCGCACCAGGTGCTGGGCCACGTCGAAGGCGACATCATATTTCTGCGACAACCTCACTGCCAGATTCTCATGGTATCCTGCAGGGCAACAGCCATCAGTGCAGGAATCATCGACATAAAACTGAGGGCAGTCAACTGCACGGGCTTGAGAGGCGTGACATGCTTGACGCTCATACAACAGATGCAAATGGAGACCGTGCCTTCAGGAAATTCATTAGTCTTCCCTGTTCCAAGCAGTGGTGTTTCCAGCGTCTTGGACGGGCCGGCCTTTCCAACTCCCACTGGAATGTGCACAAGTCAGCCGAAAGAACTTGTGCTAGTCATTTGTCCTGCAGTCTGACGGCAGGAGTCTTGCTTTGTGGGCCGCACCTTCTTCTTGAGATCAGGGTGACGCTCCACGACTTGGTCAACGCCGTCTTCTGCCATCTCGCGCCAAGTTGTCCACTTGCCACCGGAGACGAAAGTAATGCCGTTTGTAGGATGGTGGGATACCTGCAGCCAGAAGGAAAGACGCACATTTAGGCAACCAGCCTTGACAAATGCTGCACTTGACAAATGCTGCATGCAGTCCGGAAACAACATGGTCGCGAGAAGCCGAGCTTTGGTCTTTTGCATTGGGATCCCCGCAAAGTGGGCGAATGCCGTACCACGCTGACATGACATCTCCTCACTTACAGGTGAATCTCTACCCAATCCAGGCGCTGTCTTGTGAGTACTAGCTGCCTCACTTATGCTCAAGCACTTGCCCTGCTAATCCAATCCCAATACATCCTGATGTCTTAGCCCGGGCACGCAAGCTTACGTCACTCATAGTCACTCACACACTGTGTTGGAATGACCCTGTTAACCGCAGGCTGGAGGTTGGTCTTCTTTCATCTTGCATCGTGATTTTCTTCGGCGTCGCTTCTAATGCCACATTTCGCGCTTGCAAGCATCCGGCTGAGCTTAAGAGCTGATCACCTGGTTGTCTTCAGAAATCGCAAGTCACTGCAATGCTGCGGATTTGTGCCTGACGATATCCTCACTCAGAACACTTAGAGCTTTGTTGGAAGAGGCCACGGACGGTCCCTTGTTTGATTGGCACAGTATTGCTTCGTTTAGGATGTCGCACAACAGAGGATCTTCAGAACAGGCAGTTGCCAAATGCATGTACTCCATGATGTTCCCAGCCCCACCTCCCAGTTTGCACTTGTTGGGCAGCTTCAAGGTGATGTGATGTGAATCGTGCGCAGCAAGTACCAGGAAAACAAAGCAATAAACGGCCAGGGCTCTCCGACGCACCTGCAGATTGGGTGACAGGTACTTCTCGCACTCGTTGATCAAATACTGAATCTCGTCCTCGCAGAAAACTTTCATGTGCTCTTGAGATTATGCCCACAAAAGCACTCCTACAGTAGCACCCCCATCTCTCTGCAAATGCAATGACCTCCAGCAAGAGCTTACATCTCACATCTCTACAGAAACGGGAACAGCCTTCTCTAGCAGTAGTAAAGAATGAGCGACTTGGTGCTCTGTATCTGAGAAAAGCAACATTTGCTCGAAGGATGTCCTCTGGCACTTGGTGATGCAAATCCGGCTTGGTCTTCACGTCGGTTGTGCCAACAAGTGTGTAGCCCTCCCATGGAAGGAAGAAAAGGAATGAGCCTGCAACAGAAATCCAGTGCAGCACGACATCAACGCAATCGACACCTGTTTAAAGAGACCTTGCCTCGGGAAGTCATCATGTCAACCATTCCAATGTGCCGGGGGCAATAGTATGGCCTAGCAAGGGGCATCTGCTTTTCCTCCGTTGCCTCCTGTCACCTTCAACATGTTCTGCTTTGCGTCCAAGAAACGGCAGAACAATGTGCGTGCCTTCACAGGTGCCACGAGCAAATTAGAGACGGGACATGGCAAGCCCTTTGCAAAGCGCGGATGTAACCTGTGGAATTGAAGGACCTAGTCACTACTGCACCATTGTGCCTCCGGAAGCGTTCACCATAGGCTTCACATCCTTTCCTTCACTAAGCTGCCGCAAGCCATCTGTGAATGGCCCACCACAGTAGACGATCTTTTTGGCCTGCTAGGGGCTACATGTCGGGAGCTGCCAGCAACCGGGCATCTGGGGCGACTAGGCCTTGACGGTGAAGGGCTTTGAGGTAGGATCTGTGGTATCAAGCACCTTCCGTGCCAAACATCCAAAGCTGCACGTGGAAATTCAAATTCAGGCAGCCAGTCCTCTGCACCCTTGGCCACACCTTTGTCATCGAATAGAATTCTCTCAACCTGCTCTGGCGCAGAGGCAGCCATACAAGCTGGGACACGGGATGCTACATCAAAAGGCCGCTCTGCTTAGTAAATAAATCAGCCAAGCAAAATTCAAGAGTCTACCTCGCTCTTCCCAACTTCTCGATCTAGTCGCCTTCGCGTAGTTGCTGATGCACGTGCCGTACATTGCGGCAGTCAGCGCAATGCAGAGATTGGTTCGGGCATCGTTGTGCTCGCCCTCATAGAAGACGGAGACATACTTCATCCTGGCAAGAGCTTGCTGCCGAAAACCAAGAACCAGAGAAGCACACGCATCCAAAGACAAACAGGCCACCTTTTGCCATCCATTTGTGGGAAATCCGTTCTGGCTCTCTCAGAAGACATGACGTAGGAGGTTGGAGCCACATACCTCGAGGCCGGGCAGTTGTAGCTGTCTGGGCAAATGTTTTAGAAGCGGTTGCGTTGCTGCTTCAGGTAGCAGCATCACAGCCGCAGGTTGAAGCACTGTGTTTTGCTAGCTGGCGCGCAGGCTGCTGCATCCAAGTGGTGGACAAGCACAAACAGTCGGCCCCGTTTGCGTGGGCTGCTTCGCTAATCTTTGTCCAGATACTGTCCCAGAAAATCGTAGAACTTGAAGAAAATGACGAAAAGACCTGTACATGGCCCCAGTGCAGCGGGTGGATAATCCTTAGAAGAAGGTTGCAAAACTTGTCGACACGCATGTCGGCCAAGATTCGCCAGTTGGGCAGTGATTTCAAGTGACTATGCATGCCTCTCAGACACGACTCAAACATACAAATGCAGTGCGCAGAAGGCACTACTTCCCACAAGAAACTCCGTGCAAACATGCGTCAAATGGTGGTGGCCAAATGATCCACTTGTCCAGCCTGTCTGCAATGCACTGGTATGCTGTGCGTTTTTTTGGTCAAATTCTGCGAACTCAATGATAGTGTTGACAGCTTGCTATCGAAAAGGTTATTGCACTTGCCTGCTTTGATTCACTTTGGATCTACCCAAGCAACCTCTCCACTTGATCACGACAACAACTTCAAGGCTTACGAATGTTCACGAGCACCATGCCGCCCAGACTAGTTCTCAAATCGACAAAGATGCCTACACTGCAACAAGCAAAACCTGTGCTCATTACACGGTTGCCCGAGAGGAGTTGGCCCTTGCCACATGACTCAAGCAGCAAAGCTGTGGGCAAATCATATATCAGCTGTTCCCAGTTCCGGCACCATCAACACAAATCCACCAAGGAGCGGAACAGCAATCGGAATCCAATTAGTGATGTGCGGATTCATGGTCAGCATGTAAGTTCTCTCCCGGAAACATCCCAAGACCTGCAGCCGCCAAAACACAATTACCACCCACTAAGCACAAGTTCCCGCTGTGTGCACTCAGCCGTTGACCATATGCCACGTTCCTGCAAATTCCTTGGCTTTTTATCCAAGGACAAATAGCAGCCAACAGCTTACCTGACAGTTCCCAATCGTTCCCAGAACTATGTTTCGCAAGCATCACCAAACAAAGGAGGGACCGCCAGATTTGGTTCGGGAATCGACCGAAGCTTTTGAAGCATGCTGGCTTCGGAGCTTCGCGCTTCGCCCCTTACAAATGAAGCAAGTGGCTTCG